GCTTCCACCAAAATAAAGTTTGGAGGTCAATATCATGAACAGTTTGCAACGACAGATCAATTAACCCAAAACTATTCACTTTTTTTCATATACTTAGGTAGTTCCCGAGTTATAAAGGGGTGAACCTCCGCTTCAGCTATGTTAAAAAATTGGCAATATTGCCCATATATAGATTAATAGATTCATTTATTTTCTAACTCTCCCTCTCACTTTTTTATATTATAAATATCTCTTATTATTATAACTCAGTCTCTTATTATTATAGCTCTCTTATTTGTATACCACTTTAATCCGAAATAATTCTCAGACAAAGATAATGAAATTTTTAGGGAGTTCTCAAACAGAGCGTTCTTTAGAAGTGTACTTAGGCTTGACGTTGTGGACGTAACAATTTGTTTAGTGGAGTGATACATGACTCCCTGGGACAATATCCCAAGCAACAAACTAAGAGAACTGATGAGGATTTGTGGCGAAATCCGAAACTATAGTCTTCTCTGCCTTTCCCGAAAGTAATCAATGTGACATAACCCACTTTAAAAATCTTGTTGTTTTTTGTATTTTTTAAAAACAACAAGAAATGGATTAAGCTGGCCAGATAGATTTTGAGATTCTACAACCAGGTTCTCTCAACCATCTGTTGCTGACTACCCCGCCATTAGGAGGTTTCACAGATCTCTCAATCCGAAGATTGGACGACTGTGAGCCCCTCGAGCATGCTCGTCGGCTATCTCATTCCCTTCCCAACATAAGCTAACTATCTGTCGTATATCATTCAGAGCGGACTTGCAATCATGAACTGCTATTGAGTTTATAGTACACGACTTCACCGCTTTAAGGGCCGACTGACTATCGACATATATAGTCACCGGTCCCGTAATGTCGGTAGTAAATGATTTTACTATCTCGGCCGCTTTCGTGATTGCAAGGATTTCTGCTTGAAAAACGCAACAAGGATTGTTAAGTTTATATGAGTTATATACCAGTGCCTTCCTCCACCTTTGACCCGTCTACAACACTGAGTAGTGTACCAGCAGTCCTTTAGAGCGCTCCTCAACATTCCTATTCCACGTTAGTTTGCGGTCAAGGATAGTGCCGAGGTAGTTTGCTTCTTCAGAAAGGGTTAGGGTCACTCCTCCCAGTGAGGATAGGCGGACTATGAAACTAGGCATCTTACGTTATGGGGTTATGTCAATGACTTCACCTCGCACTCTATTTACAAACGTTGGTGTTTTGCCCCTATAACAAATTCTAAGATTATAGCTGAGTATAAACTCAAAAATGGACTCACCTCTAGTGTTGGTGTTACTGCTTCCCAGTGGAAGTGATGTGCATGGCGTCACACCCGATGATGAGATCACAAATTTTGCCATTTCTTTTCCATTAGGTGGCGTAGTTCCATACCGGACGGGTCAGGAGCCTCATAGGAGAGGTAAACGGCAGAGACTGTCAGGGATTTCGAGGTACCCCTATCCAGCCTGACAGTTGTCATATCTCCATTGCTGAAATTAGAAAGAAGCATTAAATTAAGCTCTTTTTTGGCAAGAATACACGTTCTTACCTTCTCTCCATTGAAGGCGGTCAAAATTATGAACTTTTTATCGCTCAAGCCAGTCACCTTACCTTTTATTTGAGGAAGAGAGGTTAAGAAGCAGTTCAGCAGCTGCTGATCTACAGTGATGCAGATGTTTTTCTAATAACCTTAATGTGTTCTTCAGCCCCTTAAAAGGTGGTGGGATCCACACAGGGGTTACCATACCGCTTGGTATCTCTTGGACCGCTACAGCTGCCAGTCTGCTACCTTCCCAAAAAGGGTCCAGGCTGTTAATTGTCTTCTTAAGGAAGTCCGCAGTCTCCTTAGTACGACAATTAACAACCTTCACCCCTTTGTATAAGGAGGTCTGGCCAAACCGTAGGCTCTGTCGATCAACCTCGTCGGATAGGAAGAGGTCCTTCAGATAGCTGTCGACAAATAACCATTTATCCTCGCTGATTATCCCGTCAGGGTCTGCTCGGTCAATGATAGCTAATCGCAGATCATCTGGAACCTCTTGGGGAGCAGCAGAGTCGCTGAGCGCCGTTGTAGGTTTCTAGGCTACCTGTAGGTTCCTCCGAGGACCTCATTCTCTTGACAGCAGTGGGCTGTGGCCGAGATTTGGCACCCGGGTTTGCAACCGCCGCAGGCACCTGCTTCGCTCTCGCTACTTTCGGCGCATCCACTAGCAACTGCCCAATTGTCACAGCCTTGGGTGTCGGCTTTGGCAATTCGACAGAGGGTGGTTGTGCCTTATCCTCCAAGAAGACGCCTTTTACTGGCTCTCCTTCGGGCCGACTTTGACCGTCCCCTACCTTCCGTCTTTGTGGATGCTGGTGTCTAGGACGTCTCAGTACTCAGTCTACCCATGATGTCTTCCTTGTCTGACAAGGGCGAGTCATCACAGAGCTGATTCGGGATGCTCTCCTGACTATGGCGGAAGGAGCCGGTTTCCTCTATTAGGTTTAGGAGAAGATTCGACTGCCTCTCCAGGCTTTCGTTCACGTCGTAAGGTATGAAGTTGTATTAAATTAATCTGGTTCTGACTCCTCTGTTTCCAGTTTCAGGAAGGTTGCCACCTGTAACGGCTGCGTCCAAAGAGATTCCGGAGACAGATGATTGGGTTTAGCAGGACAGTTAAAGAGATGCAGCGTATCGTGAGTTCCAAGTCCACATGCAGGGCATTCTGGCAGGTTTGTATGTTCTTCCACTGCGTATCGCTTACATTCGCATACCACACTGGCTGTGGATTTGGCGGCGGATATCATATTCCCCAAACGGAAGAACTGTACTAAAGCAGCTATGTAGACATTTAACCTTTCACAGATGTCATCGATAATAGTTAGCATTCAGCTCTACTTCCCGAAAGCGAATACCTAAAAATGTAAACACACATCCCTACAAACAAATAGCACACTGAATCTAAAAATAAACGACAGCACGGTCATTTGAATGGTCATGGCATTACAGCGATACCAACAAACATGTTATGTTGATTCTCTGCAAAGTAGAGACGCATAACAGTGGAGTTATGCCGCATGGTTACATGTTCGTCCACAACATTTTCTGAGACTTTTAGAGAATTCTCAAACAGAACGTTCTCTTGTCGTTGTGGACGTAAATAAATTGGGGAAGAAGTGTTTTTGTTTAGTGGAGTCATGTATCACTCCACTAAACAAAAATCCTTCTTCCCCAATTGTGTTACGTCTACAACGTCAAGCCTAAGTACTTCTAGAGAAAAGCTCTGTTTGAGAATTCTCTAAAAGACCCTGTTGACTAAAGTGCGTAGTGTACAGCGATCAACGCCTATCATGATTACCGAAGCCCTAAGAAGCATAGCACAAACGGCCTTGAATGCAATCTTAAATATTCATTCCAAGCTGCAAGGTGTGCCCTGAGACTCGGGGAAACGGACGCGTGGAAGTTTCTGCACTTTGGCCACGCTAGTATCTTCAGACAGAAATCCTAGCAATCACGAATCAGAGGTAGTCAAAACACTTACTACTAATAATATAGGACCGATGACTATATATATCGATAGTCAGGCGGCCCTTAAGTCGTGCACTATAAACTCAAAAGACGTTGTTAACTGCAAAGGTGCTCTGCATGATATACGACAAATAGTTAAATTATGTTGGGTTGCAGGACATAATAACATAGAAGGGAATGAGATAGTCGATGAGCTTGGGGGGTTGGCAATAGTGCAATCTACCGAATGAGCGATCTGTACAACCTCCTTTTGGCAAAATCCGTATGAGCTACTGCGAGAAAGTCGGTAACAGACGGTCAACAGAGCCTGGATGCTGTCTCATAGAGGGAGATAAAAATCACTGCATATAGCTCATATCCAAATGGGGCATTGACGAAGTGGATTATGACCGTTTATGTGAGAATGAAGAGGAGCTGGAAACAATTGAACATATACACCCTTATTACGGTTGTCGTAGTCGTTTTGAAAATTTGGCACTGTCGTATTTATATGACAAATCGGTATTATAAAAGTCGTTACAGTATGCTAATTTTGTTGTGAAAGATTAGCAATATTTACTGATTAGCTGCTACATTAGAATTTATTTTATTGCATTTCTTAATATTCATAAGAATTGCACTGGATAGAAAATTAATTAGAAAACAAACAAAATGACATAGTTTTTCCAAAACAATATAAAAAGTAAAATTTTTGCTTTGTAACAGAATAAAAGAAAAATCTATTACAAAATTTGCCGCTGTCGTAAATTTTACATAATACCGACCAAAAACGACTACGACAACGCCTACGAGAGCTGCCGAAATATATCCCATGAAGATCCTTAGCTTTGTTAAAATTCTGACATTGCTAAAATAACAATTCCTACACTCTTCAAACTCTCTTTTCACCCGGGATGAGCACAATGGACAAATGTTGTCGACATCGACGCCGACAATTCTAAAAAAAAACATTTCATGTTACCAAGATATCTGGCACGACATACTTTTTTTAGATGTGTAAAAAAAATCCCTAAAAATATATTTTTCTTCCTCGACTTCGGGTTGGACAATGCTTTTTTTAAAACACGTCATTATTATGAAAATACAATGTCTCCCCCTTTATGGTGACACACTGTCTCGTATATTTTAGTGGAATGTCATTCCTCTGCATTTAAGCATTGACACAATTCTTGATTGTTCCTCAAAACACCTTCTTTCTGCATAAACTAGATTTATATATTTATTTGCGTATAACCCATATTTATCTTATTTATAAAATATATCATTAATAAATCCTCAAAGAGTGGGGGATAAACCCGGTAAAAAGTTATAATATAGCAATATATTTTGCAATATTTAAAATATTTTTGATTCGAAATTATGTGTATACTTTATTTTGCATATAATCTTGGATTAGGGATATGAAGTTGTACAAAATGATTAAAATATGTATGTAAATGTTAAAAATGTATTTTAAATATTTTATATTATGAGATGTGGATTAATCGCATGACACAGTAGCGTCCTGTTTGAATTCTGCTTCGGTGGTGCTTTCCTTAAGATCAATGGGGTTGGTGAAGTCCTGTATAGGTAGAAACAGAAAGTATTAATTAACAAAATGAAATAAGCAACATTCAATAATGGATTACAAAAAATATATGTTTACATATCATGTGTTGTTATACATAAAAAATAGTCTTCGTATTTGTATCTGAAATTATTGTGTATATAAAAATGCGTACTCCATTTGGAGGAAGATAATAATCGAGAATCGGAATATGTGTTTTAATAAAAATGGGGTTTTCACGATGAGTTAATATGCTAATAAATTTTGTTATATAATAAATGTTGCAGAAAATTGTGTCAGTAGAGTTAGTCATTTTACACCGTCATGCAGATGAACAAAATGTTTCAACGACAACGATTTTTAATATTTTAATTTACTGGCAGTGTTATTTATACCAACCAACGTAGATTTGGAGAGCAAATTGCCAATTTGCTTTTGGTTGTACGAAACAATTTTTGATTTTTATCGACTGAATGTATTCACCTTTGATTCTTCTCCAATCAAATTTTCCATTTCATTGGAAATTTTATTAGTATCGCCGCCTTTCGTCGTGACGTCAGAAATTTCAGGTGCAACGAATTCATTTTCGGACATTTTTGAATTCGTGTCATTTTCGGGCAATAACTCTGTTGATTTATTTTCAAAACAATCGGAGTCTGAATGACGTTCATTATTTGAATCAATACTAATTACAGGGTTTTCTTGATTCTGGGTTTTCAATTCATCGATTTTGGGAACATCCTTGTTTTCGCTGGAATTATCGACATTTATTGGGATTTCTTGTTCGGTTTCTATGAAATGCTCAGTACACATTTTATCAATAGATGTTGCCTCATGTTCCGTGGCAATTGTTTCCTCTTGTTCATTAAATACAATTTCGTTTGCTTCCTTTTCTACAATTTCATTATTAGAGGCAATGTCAGTCTCCTCAGAACATGCTTCTTCCTCCCCTGGTAGAGATATTTTGTGTTCATATTTTTCATTCACTTGTTCAGGTTTATTTTGTTCCGCTTCTGTTTCATTTGTGTTTTCTTTAAGACTATCATCTTCATTTTTTTCATTATTGAAAATGTCTTCAGATTCCTGAACTTGTTCATTCACTTGTTTAGGGTTATTTTGTTCCGCTTCTGTTTCATTTGCGTTTTCTTTAAGACAATCATCTTCATTTTTTTCATTATTGAAAATGTCTTCAGATTCCTGAACTTGTTCATTCACTTGTTTAGGGTTATTTTGTTCCGCTTCTGTTTCATTTGCGTTTTCTTTAAGACTATCATCTTCATTTTTTTCATTATTGAGAATGTCTTCAGATTCCTGAACTTCCGTCAACTTAACTTCGATTTGTATAGATTCCTCACATGCAATATGTTCTTCTTCTTTGCTAACAACTTTTTCTGTGCGACAAATATCATTTACAGGGAGCTGATTTTCATTTTCAGAAACATTAATTTGAAGATCAGAAGTAGTATTAGTGGTTGACATGTTTACTTCCGCTATTTCTTCATTTGGATTAGTTTTTATTTCCTTTTCAGATTCTTCTACTCTTTCAGTGCTGTTTGTAAAAGCGAACACTGAAACCTGGGAAGGTGGCGGCGATATAGGTAGGGGAGGAGGGGATGTTTCATCTGCAATTTTTTTATCTGCTGTTTCATCTTCTTGTCCAGATTCTTTTAAATCGAAACAATTTTTTTGTTCAATAGATTCCACCCCTACATCGTTGCTTCTTTCGTCCAATATATTAAGATTTTGGTCATTGGGGAAAGTATTGGGTGTAGAGGAAGAATTGGATTCTAAGGTTTCGGCTGAAGTGTTTTTACCAGTGTTGGTGTTTACCTCAATTTGTGATTTAGACTTTTCTTCATCTTCGAACACATCGTTACTCCCATTTTGATGGATTTCGTCCACAGTACCATTGGCTTCGCTTGCCGGAATGTCTTGTTTTTCTGCAGTGTAATTGTCTGTTGGCTGCTTATCTATACTTTCAACTTCTGCGGGGACATCATTTTTTTCATCATTAACATTTGCAGAATCTTCTTTATCGTCTTTTTCATTTTTGATTAAATCTGAATTCGTTTCTTTTGTTAATTCTTCAGTCTCGTGTGATGTTTTTATTATGGTAGAGTCTTTTGCAGAAGTGTCTTTGTTTTCGACAGTAGACTCTTTTAAATCAGTCTCATTTCCCTTAATATCTTTCGATTTTTCTCCATTTATTTCGGTTTCCGTGGCATTTCCATTTTCAAGAACTGTTTCTTTATCAGTTTCCTTTGAAGAGTTTTTAGTCAGAGTCTGTAGATCTTGTGATTCGGTAGAACCCTAGACAATAGGAAAAATCATTATATTTTATAATTCATTACATATATATATATATAGTGGTGGCCATATCATAATGCAACAAAAATTGACTGCGTGGAAATATGTTGTAATCTTCTTATTTAAACTTAAAAAATCCGCCAACTTTGTTCAATTGAAAACAGAATTTTTCCTATTTTGCTGTAAAATTTGGTGATGAAATCGATAATTCGATAACCGCTACATCAATATGCAACTATGACAAATTAAAAAAATGCCGTTATAATAGGCAGTATTTCTCATCATTTTTTTATATTTTTTCGCAAAATTTTAATATTCTTGACTATTAAGAAGTAATTGTAATACAAATTAAAAAAAATAATTTTTCAATGTTGTATATTAACATTGAAAAATTATTTTTTTAAGTTTAATTTAAATAAAAAGAATACAACATATTTTCACGCAACCAATTTTAGTTGCATATCATATGACACTCACGTATATATACTTACAATATTTTTATCGTCCTCAGATCCGTTGACTGCCCCGACAGGATTTTCCGAGCCTTCTTCTGCCTTACCAGGCTTTTGTTTATCTTTTTTACCAAAAGAAATACTACGAAAAGACCATTTCTTTTTAACCTTTTCTTTTTTGGACTTTTTTGAACATTCATCGGAAAGAGGAGAAAGTTCTTCAGTTGTGTCATCATTCTTCGTCTCCAAGGCTTGTGATTTGGTATCATCTGCATTAACTCCACTATCTTCACCATCTCCTGCTTTCTCCGTTTTCATATCCTTATCATTTTCCACTTCACCATTGGTTTCATTATTCTTAATAAATAAGATAATTGCGTAAGCTATGTTTCTATAATAATAAATACTGTTTATTACCTCTGAAGATGACGGAACAGTTGCATCACCATTTAAATCCTTCTTATCAACATCTTCAATTTTTTCCAACTTTTCTGTGACTTCTTCATCACCGCCCTTTTTGTTATCAGTAGTAATATCAACTGATCGCTTGCTTTGAGCTTTACCCATTTCGTATATCTAGAACAATACAAAATATACAATTACACAAAATTGTTTGAACACTAATATATCAGTTGTTTTTACTACTACATCTACGTTTGGTGATACTTTGTGACAAATACAACGTTAAATTTTCCTATTTAAAATTAAGAAAGTAACACAAATCCAAAAAATTACTATCCAGACAGGACCTATATTTAATAAAATGCTGTTTTGTACACTTTAAATTAACCTTTTTAAATAGAAAGAGTGGACCTATAAATGTATACGTGTTCGAAAATACTTTCTTTACTTTCTGTAAAGTATAACCGATGGATAAGTACACTACGATAAGATATTTTGTACTGTTTATGTTCCGGAACACTTAGTCCGTGTACACACTATCACTATTGAATGTCAGTTTGGCCGCTCATTCATCAGGCAACCAAGAAACTATTTAAGGTTTTTGAATAGTCAGTAATCGACACAAAAGGTTTACAGTACAAAATGATAGAATCTGATTGCCTAACAGTGAAATATTGCAGTGTTTCTGGTCGAACACTGGTTGTTAGTAACTGAGACATTAAAATTTCCGATGATTTTTTTTAGTACAAATTAAAATTTATTGAAAGAACTTACACACTTGGCCGCTCAAGAACTACTAAGCATTTATTTGAATAACTCGAAACATTTTAAATGTTCAAATTATGCGGGATATTTATATATTGTCAAGTACTACTAAGCATTTACTTGAATGACTCGAAACATTTTAAATGTTCAAATTATGCGGGATATTTATATATTGTCAGGATTTTTACATTTATTTCACTCCCAAAACATTTGCGATAAACATTTGTAATAACGATAGTCAAAAATCGAAGAACAATAAAAACCAAACAGGAAGGGTGGTTTGTTGTTTAAAATTTTTCTTGATAACAAATTTTCTCAAAAGATATAATCTTTAATCAGTAAATAAAAATATTTTTGGTATAATTTATATTATTGTAATGAAAAAAACTATAACAATAATTATTATTATAATTTATTTCCAAAGACTTGTTACCAGACTTACTTGAATCTTATAAAAAAAGTGCATTTAAAAATTAATAATTAATCTTAAGAATTAAATTAAACCTAAAAATTAAATTTAAAGCCCAATTATGTAAATAAAACATATATATATATATATCGGAAAGTAACCAGATTCATACTACCCCAGAGCTGATCGTTAAATTAACCTAGGTAAGACATTTTGAATTGTGTGGAGTTAAAAGGTGTTAGGGGTTGTAGTATAACGAGATGGTTTATTTTATTTCATACAACGTAATGCAAAAGCTGTTACCAGCTGATAATTACATTATAATAAATACTGACATATATATATATTTAGCAACAACATAAGAAACTTAATCAGTAGCAATAAATAAAAACAATATTGATACTCTGTTCCCCAAATATAATAATTTACAAAAGTATTATATAATAATCAGTTTAAATCAATGCAAAGAACTACTATAATTTTTAATTTATGCAGCATTTTGTAAAAAGTAGATCATTCTTGCTTTATAGTAAACTCAATGTACTTATTTTTGAAGATTGTTGCAGGGTACGAAAATATACGCAAAAATGAAGCAAGTTTGTTCCAGAAGTGGACAACTCTAACCATAAATGATCGCTCAAACATTAAATTGGCATTAAATTGGACCTCTATATGCGTTTGTATATTTTATGTTACTTTAAACAAATTTTTTTCAGAATGTGTTCCTACTGTTACAACTAGAAACTCTGATAGACATCCATGGAATACACGCGTGTTGTCAAGTAAATACTTATTCATATACTATTCAGATTAAATACATATCCTTATGGACAATCAAATATAGATCATATATTTGTGCCTTTCTTATAAAGTCGATAGGTCTCTGAACATATGTATATGATGGTATACCTAGCATAATTTTTAAGAATTGTTCAGATACATTAGCATTAGTAAAGCTTTTGACAGCTTTTGTTTCTGGAATGCTCCCTGTGAGTAGTGGTGTACCCCAGGGGTCTGTACTTGGGCCTCTATTGTTTGGTATGTATGATAATGATTTGCTAAGTTCTATTAGTAGTAGAAGCTGCATGTCATTTTCTGATGACTTGCAGATTTGTTTAAAAGAGAATATGTGTTTTCAAATGATTTGCAGTCGTCTATACATTTTAATATTAATGTGTTAGTAACGTGGTTATCTGCAAACGGACTCTCAATTAATACACGAAAGAGTAAAGCTATGTTTTTTGGAAACTTGCAAGAGAATTCAGTAAATGTTTCAATTTATAATAATTCTATAAATGTTGTAAGCTCTATGAAATGTCTTGGTTTGTTTCTTGATAGTAGTTTGGTGTTTGATGTACATGTTAATTCGTTGGTGTCTAAAGTAAACTTTATTTTAAGAATGTTGTACTCTTGGGATATGGCTCCACCTAAGAGCATTAGAATTCAATGGGCCATGCATTGATTATGCCAATTTTTTTGTATTGTATTGAGATTTTTGGGGGTTGTTGTGGATATGTTTTACGTAAAATTAAACTCTTGTTCCATTGAGTTATGCGAAACGTCGTTATGTTAAACGTCGTGATCACATTTATCCTTATGTTAAAGAGTTCCTCGGTTGTACCTTTGAACGTTTTGTGAATTTAAGGTAAGGTATTTTAGTTTCAGACTAATTCCTCTGCAGTTGATTTTTTTTTTGTTTTCTAGATCTGTTAGAAACATACAAATACTTGTTCCGCGTTTGTGTCCTTTATTGGAAAAAGCCTTTTTTGTACGAATTTTTAGAATTTTTAACACTTTACCGCCTTCTCTTAAAACATTTAGCTCTTCCTTAAAATGTTATCGAGCTCATTTATACGATTACTTCAACCTCAATTCGTCTTAAAATTCATGGGTTTTGTTTATTTGTTTGTGTTTTTATTGCATAAACATATGTGTTTTTCTAGAAATTCTTCTTTGATAAGACAATAACATATTAAAGGTTCGGTTTTATCAAAATTAAATTTTAACAATCATATTCACCCCTATTCCGTATGTCGTCGTCGTTGTCGTCGACGTTTCTTTGTCGACATCATTTCGCATCGACATCCCTTCGACACTGATTTTGTTTATTTTGTTTGATATTTTCGTACAAAAATGTGTTTGTATCCTTCACCATGGCACAGGGCATTATGTCTTTGTACGTGTGTTTGCAACATCCAAAAGGAATCGAGATAAAATTTGCAAAATTCCATCCAATTGGGATGAAACTTTATTTGGCACACAGACGAGTCCTATTGATATTAATCAAAATCGGTTCAGATTTATATATAGATCCCATATATTTTTCTTTGTTTATTTACACCTAATTTTGCATTACGTATTGAATAGATTCTAGAATGATGTATCCTGTTCTTGTCCGTTCACGTTTTTCTTTTTTATATTTCAAAAAAAATTGTTTAAACATTTCAGTCGTCAACAAAAATTATGACGATGAAATCTTCGACATCGTCGTTGTCACACTTTGTTACGGAATACCAAAAATGTTTCAATAGTTACCGATAAATGTCGACAACGACATAGGGAATACCAATTTACCACAGGTAGATCTCGTCTCCCTGATCACGAAAATATATGACATTCATGGAGGAAATCCATATTTCCCGAGATATGAACCTCTGAAGTTCCGGAATTCATATGCTCGCACTGTTAGAAATAGCTTTTTACTATCACATTTTCGTGAATACAAGAACTTTTGGTCTTATATATATAATATCCAAACATATCAATAGATTATTTTTAAAGACAAACTCAAAAACATTTTAAGGAAATAATGTAGCACTATCTGTACATGTCCGAATGTGCCCACTTTAAAATGCCAAATCTACCACTAAGCTACTTTCTATAGTTTTTTTCTATCTTTCTTCTAAAAACATATTTTTAGTTATTTGTATAATACCGCCTTAAAATTTGAAAAGTTTTATACACGAAATACTTACGAAATGAATTACTCTTCTTTAATATGGATCGAAGCTAGTGATGTACAGTGAGAGCTTCATATCAAAAACGCGATCTCCGAGTATGCCCCGTCTCCCCTACTCTATTCGAATATCATATAGCATGCCATGAATTATAAATTAATGGGGTATACATTTTTTTCTTCAGTCTCAATAAATCTTAAACTCAATAGGTTATGGACCTCTAGTTACTTTTAAAAAAATATATTTTTTCTGCTGTAGGAAAAATTATAAAAAAGAGGACAAGTGCTTAAGTATCTTGTCCCGTGGAGAGACTGAGGGGGGATGAGAAAATTTCGATGTATGGAAAAGACAGGCGAAATCCTTGCTCGTAATTAAGGGATGTTGGAAAGCAGTTTATGAATCGATGCCCAATACAGATATAAATGAACGTGCTTTCGCGGAGATCACTTTAATGGTCGATCCAAATAATTATGGACAGGACGTCTTTAGACAAGGCATACAAAGATAACGGCCTAACACGTCAAGTTGACTTTTTGAAGCAATTGGTTAACATTAAAACGCTGAATAACAAGTCAATTGAATACTATGTCAATGAATTGGTAATTGTAGCTTTAAAGGCTAAAAAATGCCGGATTAAATATAAATGATGAGTTGACGGCTTCATTAATGTTAGCCGGCTTGATTGAAGACTTCAAACCTCCGATAAAGGCCGTGGAGAACGCGGCCGTCAGGATGTAAAATTCGATCAGGCATCTGAAAAGATCAGAGCTTCAGGAAAGGACTTAAAGCAAATCCAAGAAACAAATGATTTGCTATAATTACAAGAAAGTTGGCCACATATCGAAAAATTGTCCGAGCAAAACCTATTTAAATAGAGAATAACTTGATGCCAATGGAGATATTGACCTGAAGTGTAGGCATAAAGACAATACCACTATAACCATAAAAGACGTGAAGTATGTGCCTGAAAGGACAAGCTTACCGTACGACGTGTTTAAAAGGTAAGGAAACACGCAGACCAAACAAAGAAGGGGGCAATAGAGCGGC